GGAACCACTAAGCTAAATCCCCAGCTCTACCTGTGTTCTTTTTATGTGAACTACACATTTTTCTATTGTGTCCTTTTTCTTTTTCTTATGGATTGGTATAAATTCTTTGTAAATAAGCCCTTTGTTACATATATTGCAAATAATTTCCTCTTTTCACAAAGCTCTTTTTATATTTATTTAACTACAGTTTCATCTTTCCCTTTGACTTTTGTGTTTATTGTTACTTAAACCCAAGGCTAAGCCTAAAAATTAATTCTCTGATGTTTTCTCTTTGTACTTTCATAGTTTCACATTTTATTATTTAAATCTTTACTCCATTTGAAATTTATTTTGTTTGTTTTTGGTACCGGGGATTAAACTCAGGACCTTGCACTTGCAAGGCAGGCAGCAGAACCACTGAGCTAAATATATTTGAAATTTATTTTGATGAGAGAAATGAAATAGGATTCCAGCTTTAGTTTTTCCTGAAGCTTTAATCAGTCTTTTATTTTTAAATAGCATTAAGGTTTGAACCCAGGACCTCACACATGCTAAGCATGTGCTCTACCACTGAGCTACATCACTAGCCCCTTACTCATTTTTTTAAATAGAGGAATTATCCTTACTAATTTTTATCTGCACATAATTATGTATATTAAAAAAAGCGAACAGTGCTAATGGCCACTTTGGTAAAACACAGTTCTCAAACCTCAGACAATCTTTGGATTCTTTGGATGGGTTTTATTCTGAGGATATTGAGCCCTGTGGCCATGACAGCAGTTACCACTTCACACAGCAGCATACACCACTGTTCACCTTCAATACTTTTCTGGTCTATCAGTCTTTCTCTATGTGTATCAGCTACCATAGAGCTCTGTGAAAGTAGCTGCTAGGTCACAAATCTAATAGTAGAATCTATGTAGAAATAAGTAATCTAAAATATTTTGCAAAATCTCAGGAAAACATAAAATGCATCAGCCTAATTTCCATTCCTTTTCATGGTCCAAAATGATCTTGGCCTCCCAAGCAGCTTTCTGGAGTTATCTCTTCATCAGTACTGGCCAGGTATGCAATAGTCCTAAATCTAGTGAAAGCATATAACAAGCAAGCAGCTATGTTCCCTCTGTCACCTAGCATTTTGTCAAAGGAAAAGATACAGTCATTTATCTGGATATAGGAAAAGTCAACATATTTGATAAAGCCATAAGCAACAGATGTCTGAGCAACTTTCAATCTCTCTGCAGTTAAGACCTTGTCTCTCTCTTTTTCCTTCTATTTGCCCATGGATAACTTTAGTCTTTCTCCTGGAAATTCTATGAAGCATACTGTTTCACCTGAATATGTTTCAAACTTCTTGTCTTCCCCTAGCACCACACCAAATCCAGTGTGGGACATTTGAGTTACTTTAGGATCACACCAACCCATCGCTTGAGCAGAAGCAAACAATGTGTTGAAGTACACAGATTGTCCACTGCCCATACATAATCCCATCTGCTTTTTCCTCAAATAGTCCTTATTTAACAGCAGCCAGGTATCATAGATATCACCATCATCTGATTTCACTGTGGTCCATGGTATGGAATTCCCTGGATAAATACAATCTTTCTGCTATCATCCACTTGTGTGAGTGCTTTATCTTCTAATTCTTTTATTTCTTTAAATTATTTTATGACATCATTCATCCTATCTTGTTAGAAGTATTCTCCTCTCTCTATTAGGGTGATGTCCAATGCGTCATACATTTTATTAAACTTTTAGTGGGTGGTATCACAGACAAGCTTCCAAGCTTGTGTAATAGCCAGATCTTTACTCTGGAGCAGAATGACACACTCGTATGCTTCTTTTCTTAGATTTCTTATAAAAGGCCCAAATAACCCCAGGAAGTATACCTTGCAGGTGAGTGACGAGCATGTCAAATTGGGTCTCCCAATCTCCTACATGATTTAACCTGAGCACATCATATCCTGCAAATTCGAAGAAGAAGAACACACTCTCCTATGATAGTTGATGTGAGTGGCCTACATGAACCTCTTTAGCTATGTTGGGAGAAGAAATGTCAATTACAAGCTTTTTATTTTCTCCAACGGCAGGCAGCTGAACTCCATTCATCAGAAGACTGGTCAACTGTTCTGATACAAAATCCTTTCTTATGTGGACATTAATGAAACCAAGATCAGCAATTTCAACTTTTTCAATACATTCATTATTTGGCAGGTGTTTGGTAATGTTTTTCGGCAATTTCTCTTGGATTTGCTTTCTTTTCTTTCATTTTGAATATATGAGAAATATCTATGGTACTATTACACTGCTAATTTTAAAATTTGGGCTGCTGACTTGATGCTATGATCACAGGAGGATTTTCTAAGTCTAGATATGCAACTTAAATGGCACAACCAAAGGCTTCTTGAAGGCAGCTATTAACATTAATATTTTTAGTTGGTCTGTTATTTTCGGCCTGAAGACTCAAAGACTATTCAATTGATAGTTTGATTTAAAATTTTCTTCTTGAAACAGCTACAAATTGGGAGAGCTTCCAATCAGCTATAGCTTTTCAACTGGTTGATTTCAGCAGTCAGAGACTTAATCTCTTTTTAGTGCTGCAGCAGCCATAATGGAGCAGGGAGCTACCAGCATACCCATACTCTTTTCAGCACTTCCTCATCATTGTTTTCGAGCAAAGTAGCCATCGATAATATAAAATACCACCTTCACCCTGCACTAAATCCACTATGTGCCCTAGACTTTCTCCAATATTGCTATGAACTGCCTATGTCTTCTTTTTCTTCTCCTCCTCCTCGCCCTCCTCCTCCTCATCACCTTCCTCCTCCTCCTCACCTTCCTCCTCCTCCTCCTCTTCTTCTTTTTTGATACCTGGGATCAAACTCAGATCCTTGCACTTGCAAGGCAGGTGGTGGAACCTCTGAGTTAAATCCCTGGCCCAACTGCCTATGTCTTCTTAAGTTTCAATATGCTAATGGTTAGTCCCTTGATTACCAGTTTTCAGAATTTTCCTGATTATTTTAGAATATTTATTATTCCCTATTAGGACTTCTCAGCAGTGGTACTATTGACAGTTTGAGAACAGTTAACTGTTGGGAACTGTGCACATTCAAGATGTTTAGCAGCACCTCTGCCCTCTATCCACTAGATGTCAGTATCACCCCCCAGATGTGACACAAAAAATGTCTTCACATATTTGCCAACCCAATGGAAACAAAGGGGCCCCCAGGGAGAATGGATGTTTAGAAAACCCTCGTATTGTTTTATCCATGTTTCCACCCCTGAGTTCTCACTGATATTTTAATTATAATGAAAATTAAATCACAGAATAATTTAGGCATCCCTATTTTATTTAGTATGTTATACTATCACATTTGTTTTATAATCTTTCCATCCAAAAACCATGTATTCCATCATTCCACTTATTTATGGCTTCTTTAAAAGACAAACCTGTCCTCCAAAGGATTTTAAGATTTTTTTAAATATATTGTTTCTTGAACTATTAAGTTTATTCCTATTCATGAACTATTAAGTTTATTCCTTTTCATGCTTTCATAGATGGGACTATTTCTTACATTATCATATTTTCTAACTAGTCACTGATAAGAAAGGAAGTTTTTATTTATTTATTTATTCTGAGATAGGGTCTCACTGTGTTTCCCAGACTGGCCTCAAACTCCTCGGTTCACATAATCTTCCTGTCTCAGCCTCCAAGTAGCTGGGATTCTAAGTGTACACCACTGCACTTCACAAGATAAATCTATTTATATCATCAAAGCAGTATCTATACATTTAGAATTTATCAAGAGTTTATGATGAAGTCAGGAAGTTTGCTAACTGTGACAAGTACATCTTCCATATCTATCAAAGCGACCATGTGGTTTTTCTCCTGTGGCCTGTTAATACTATATATTAGTATTATATTCAGATTTCCTAACAGTCATTCATTCGTGGGTGGCATAACTCCACTTTGGTTGTGATGTAGACTTCTGTTCTTTTCTTTCTTTCTTTCTTTCTTTTTTGGTTTTTTGAGACAGGGTCTCACTATGTAGTTGAGACTGACCTGGAACTCACTATGTAGCTCAGGCTGGTCTTGAACTCACAGCGATCCTCCTGCCTCAACCTCCCGAGTGCTGGGATTACAGGCATGCGCTACCATGCCTGGCTCTTTTATTTCTTTTTAAATTCCACTTGCTAAGATTTTGATCTCACATTTTTGCATTAATATTTGAGAATAAGACTCCTCTGTCATTTTTTTGGGTAATGCTTCATTAACTTTTGGAATCAGTTTTAGGCTGACTTGACAAATATAAGTTGTACTTTCATTTGTTATATTTTAAAACCAAATGTGTATGTATTTTTAGTATGAAATTGCTCCTTAAAACAGTAAAGCTATTATACGGAAACACCAGGCCCTTCCCCTTCACTCCTAAAGCCACATATAGCCTTCAAAGATTCAACTTTTTGAAAACTGAATACGGTAAAATTGAAACATGCCTTTGGAAAAGTAGTGTGCAGTGTTATGTTTTATGACAAGGGCACAAAAATCTTAAATATACCAATATTCAACACCATCACTGGTTAATAATGATACATTCATTTTCCCATTTTAGACAATTTAACACTCTGTTGGAGGCTGCATTTTAACAGTGAGATCACAAAAAGCTTAGCTATCTTATGTTCATGCACAAACACATTTCGTACCAAGATGACCCCAGAACATACATCATCACATTGCCTGGATCCCAAAAGGATTTCACACACGGTGACAAGTGACCTTCTGAGGGGACAGAGTAATCATAGCACAGGCTGTAAACTCTCTGTGGCAAGGACACTGCCTAAAACACTTCCTGACACAGGGTAAGTGCTCAATAAGTAAATGATGAAGGGAGGTACGTATGAATTGCTGACATGCTTCCACATAGCCAAGATGAATAGCCACCTGGGTCTCCTACCTGCAGTGGTCCTCAGGCGGCTCTCGGTAAGCTCAGAGATGGCTCCAGCTGTCGCAGTCTTTTTCAGCCGCACTATCCCTGATGAAGAAGTACTTCCAGGCTTATTGAGCGTGTCTTCACTACTGGCTCTCTTGAGCTATGAGAGATGGTAGAGGGAAAGAGAGAAGATGAAGAGACGCCTCTTCAATAATGAGTGCTGTGAATCAACAGTGCATCCAAGCAGAACTATGGGCCCAATGGTTTAGATACAGAAATGGGGCTTTGAGTAGCACAATTTTGTCAACTGAAAAAATGGAACACTAGACAACCTGTTCCTTTTCACTCATAGGTCAGAGTATGATATTCCCTGTTTCAAAGAACAGAGAACTGTGCTACACTTCCAATATAGTTGTCTCTTCTATGTGCATGGGTTACATTCCAAGACTCTAGTTGATTCCTCAAACCTCAGACAGTACCAAACGCTATATATGCTATATTTCATTCTTACCTAAATCTCAGCAACCTCAAGATACAGTTCTTTTTTCTTTCCTTATTAAGTAGAAAACTTTCACCCTCTCACTTCAGGGAGGCACTATGCAACAGCATATCTGAATTGCTAGCCTCATTACTCTTGCACTTTGGTGCTGATATTAAGTAAAATCATAGTTTTTTGAACCCAAGCACGAAGATATCCCAAGAGCGGATCTGAGGATACACACAGGTACTAAGTGGCCAATGGGTGAGCACTATATATATAGCAAATTAATAAAATGAATAAAGGCATAACTTTCATCCTAGACTGTGTGGCTCAAGATTTCATTACACTACTCAGAATGGCATGCAATAAGAAGTGTGAGGGTTATGTGAGGGTTATATGGCCCAGTGGTAGAACACAGGCTTAGCATGCATGATGCCCTGGGTTCAATCTCCAGAGCCACAAAAAGAAAAAGAAAAGAGAACTGTAAGTAAGAAGCACAAAAGCCAAGTAGGACAGTGAACAAAAACCAGCTAGGTGTGGTGGTACACGTCTGTAATCCCAGCCTCTTGGGAGGCTGAGGCAGGAGGATTGAGAGTTTGAGGACAGACTGGGCAATTTATCAACAACTTGTCTCAAAATTTAAAAAGGTGCTGAGAAGATTGCTTAGTGGAAAGACCCTATATTCAAACCCCATAGTGGTAGTGGGGTGCTTAAACATCTGAGTAAACAGAAAATAGAGGAGGAGAAACAATATGAGTTTCTACCATGTTCTCAACACCAAGCACTCTGTATACATCATTTCATATGGAAAATAAGTCTAAAGGCAAGAAAGACATTTTCTTGGAGGTGAAAAAACACTGCTAACAGAAGAAGGCAGAGTATCTCTACTCTTTTCTTTCTTCCCTATCATGAGAAGGGTAAAAGAAACATTTATTGAAAGGCACTGAAGTCTAAAGACTCCTAAATGAGCTCACACTTGTTGCCCAGATAAATTATGTCTAACATTAATGAGAAAAACTACAAATAAATTCTCTAAACCACTATTCAGTTTTCTTTAAAGAATACCACTGGAGAGAAACAGATCCAGAAGACTGGAGACAGGCAGATGTTCAGAGTCATCCTAATACCTCTGACATCTGGAGGAGAGAGTGTGAAAAGGCCCTCAAATCAATGCAGACACAGAGCAGACAGCCCGTTTGCCACAATGGCTGAGAGTCCAAAGGCCCTGCTCTATATTCCTCCACTGGCTTTGCAAATACAGTATCGAGTTAGAAGTTTAAATATTTACAAAATTTTTAAAAATCTGCTTTTGCATCATTTCAAGGGACACATACAACTATACACTCCCTCAATGGCTTAAAAAAGAAATAAAAAACACTAATACCAGGTGTTGTGATCTCAGCAGGAACTTGATGCCCTGCTATTCAAAAGGGCTGGTACAACTGCTTTGAAAACTGGCAGTATTTACACTACAGGTAAATATTTTCACCCTGTGCTTCACAGTTCCACTCCTTGCTCTGTACCCAAGAGAAGTAAATACATAGATTTATCCAAAGAACATTCATAGCACCTTTATTTGTAACAGTGCGAAACCAGAACAACTGAAATATCCTCCAAAAGAAAGACAAACTAAATAGTGAGATAGTATATTGGAAAGTATAAAGCAATTGGAAAAGAATTACTGATACACTAGCAAATGAATGGATCTCATAACTATTATGCTGAGTCAAAGAATCAGATGCAACCGAGTATTTACTTCCTAATTCCACTTACATGAAGTTTAAGAATCACAACACCAAACAATGGTGAAAAAGTCAGAACACCAGTTCCCTCTGGGTCAATTACATCGGAGAAGTACTAGTAGTTTCTGCATCTACATTGAGTGCAATTACACAAATTTAGACTTACATAAGCCAATGAGCCATTATAAAATTATAATCATTGTATTTTGCAACTTATGGAATACTTTATTTAAAAAAGAAAAAGAGGACTGGGGATATAGCCCAGTGAAAGAATACTTGCATGATACTCTGGATTAAAAAAAAAAAAAAAAAAAAAAAAAAAAAAAAAAAAAAAAAAAGAAAAAAGAAAGAAAATTAGGCCAGGGATTTAGCTCAATGGTTTTCCTGCCAGCCTCACAAGCACAAGGACCCAAGTTTGACCCCCAGTACCATAAAAAAAGAAAACTAGTGTGGAAGTTGTTTGCAAATTGCCTAACACCCTGGTTCCACTCCTGCAAAAGTAAGCCTACTTTTAAGTTTTGTTTTTTTTTTTTTTTTGGGTACCGGGGATCAAACTCAGGTCCTTGTGCTTGCAAGGCAGGTAGCAGAATCACTGAGCTAAATCTCTGGCCCTGTAAATCTACTTTTGTTTCTATTTTTATTTGGCAAAATAGGCATTATGGTTTACATCTAAAATGTCCTCCAAAGCCTCACTGACTCCCAAGTAGGGCTTTGGGGAGTGGCTGGTTCATGTGTGGTAGTGGATTAGTCCTCTGATTGGTTTAGCATGATTCTTGGTGTGGCTGGATGGATTTACTGAAGACAGAATCCTCAACCTGTGGTGCCAACTAATAGGCCTATATTAGTTGGAATATAAAGGGGAAGGAAGACTGGCTGCCTGCTGCCTCCTGCCTGCATGCCATGAATTGTTTATCCTCTGCCAGCTGCCCTACCTTGGAGCCATCCGACTATGGACAGAAACTTCTACAAACTGTGAGCTAAAATAAACCTTTCTTCCTTACTTGTGGGTGTTTGGCATTTTGTCCCAGTGATGAGAAAGTAACTAAGACAATAAACGTTAACAAATTTTACCATTTTAACTACTTTAAATAATTCAGTGGCATGGAACATACTCACTACTATCACCACCACCATCTCAAGAAATTTTTAATTATATCAAACTCAACTCTCCTTAAACAGCTGTCATTGATTTAAAAAGAGTTATTGTTGGGTGGGGGATTTAGGTCAATGGTTCCACCACCTGCCTCATAAGCACAATCATGATTAAGGTTTTAAAATTAATTAATTATTAATGATTTACAAAATAATATTAAAAGGATGCTTTGTGTGTACTTTCAGTTGGATGTCAACATGATTATATTTTCTGGACAACAGCACAGTCACCTAGGTTAGTAACCAGACAAATACAACACAAGTTGACACAGAAGTTGCATTATTGCCCTTCTTATAATGACTCTGTCATAGTCTTTTCATCTCCCATCTCACAGTGAAAAGGTTGTTTTGTGCAAGCTTTCTAACCTCTAAAATCAGCCATCAAATTACCAGTATAGTGGGTGCTCAATATTAAATGACCACGATCCATTAATGTCAGCAGCTTTTTCTCAATAGAAAAAACTATTCACTCTGCTAAGAATTGTGCCCAGGTGCCTCTCTAGTCCCCAAAGGAAAATCAGTTCTGATTTTAGACTGAAAATTCCCAAGATGATACCACAAATGAAAAGGGGAAACCACTGCAGTTAATAATTCTTAACACAATAGTGCGAGGAATACACATTTGGCTCTGCTGTTCCCTTCTCTGACAGCAAGTCTGACTTGAAGTGCAGAATTAGCAAACTCTCCAGCAAAAGACCCAGAGAGTAAGGGCACAGTCTGCAACCAGAACAGAGATCCAACAAATGATGGCACTCCTACCAGGGCCAGAAGTAAAAAGGCCACAGCCTCCAGCCCCAGCCTCTACCTTGCCATTGTTCTGGGGTGCAGAGCTCGTCCTGCCCACTCTTCCTTCAGGGGTTGGTTCCTGAAAATGTATAGTTGCAGTGAGACAATAGAGGACAGGTATTGGTAAGCAATGGGAAGACTCACTTTGGACACTGCAAGATGGCCTGGCCCAGCAATAAAGGTGGCACCAATGCTATTCAAAAGAATAGCAAGAGAAGCCCAGCATGGGAAAATTAGTGTCTTAGCAAAACCCAGTCTCAAAATTACAAAAAGGATATATATCTCAACAGGGGTGACAGAAGCGGTAGTGACCAGGATGGGAGAGCTGAGAATCCCTTCAAATAAACTCTAAAATACAGCACTTAGAGTTTATTGTTCTGAAGGGGAAGGAGGGAGTTGGGGACACAAACAAGGAAGGATAAGGCATCTATCCCTGTGTGCCAGGTTCCCAGCAATCACAATGGAGGGAGGCAGCCCAAGGGGTGGTGAAAAGTGTGCACCCAAGCTCTAGAGAGATACTAAGGCTGGATCCCTTGGCCTTTGATCTGTTTCTGTTCCACCACCCTGGACACTATAATTTAGCTAAGTGTTTACTGAAAACCTACTCTAGGCTGGGTGTGCAGCCTTAGTATATGTAGTAGACTTAGTATACATGTATCCTTTGTCTAGAGTATGAATGTCCAAATGAATCAAGTGGTCCCTGCCTGCACAGAGTTGCAACCTACAGGAGCCAATTCCTGTACAACTCTGCAAAACAAAATATAGGCAGTAGGAGCTGCATAAAAACAAAATGTTGCATAGGTACATAAGAGTAGGGGAGGCCCAAGACCACACAAAGGAGGTAATGATTAGATTTTTATCAAGCAAAAAGGGTGGTAAAGCATTCTGGAGGGGGCAGGTATGTACCAGAGAGTTGAGAATGGGGAGTGGCAGCCACTTGTCCCAATACTCCACAGAGAGAGGGCTTGGGTTCTCAGCTCCTCTATTTCCTGGGGTACA